TTATGACGGACGGACTGGGGGGAGACGAGATGTTGCATTATATGTAGGGGACGGACAGACAGACGGAGAGATGAGATGTCGCATTATATGCGGGGGACAGACAGACGGACAGATGAGATGTCGCATTATATGCGGGGACAGACGGACAGAGAGACGAGATGTCGCATTGTATGTGGGGGACGGACAGACGGACGGAGAGACGAGATGCCGCATTATATGCGGGGGACATACGGACGGACAGATGAGATGTCGCATTATATGCGGGGGACGGACAGACGGACGGAGAGACGAGATGTCGCATTATATGCGGGGGACAGACTGACAGACGGACGGACAGACGAGATGTCGCATTATATGCGGGGGACATACGGACGGACAGATGAGATGTCGCATTATATGCGGGGGACGGACAGACGGACGGACAGACGAGATGTCGCATTATATGCAGGGGACAGACGGACGGAGAGACGAGATGCCGCATTATATGCGGGGGACATACGGACGGAGAAACGAGATGTCACATTATATGCGGGGGACGGATGGATGGAGAGACGAGATGCCGCATTATATGCGGGGGACATACGGACGGACAGATGAGATGTCGCATTATATGCGGGGGACAGACTGACAGACGGACGGACAGACGAGATGTCGCATTATATGCGGGGGACAGACTGACAGACGGACGGACAGACGAGATGTCGCATTATATGCGGGGGACAGACTGACAGACGGACGGACAGACGAGATGTCGCATTATATGCGGGGGACAGACGGACGGAGAAACGAGATGTCACATTATATGCGGGGGACGGATGGATGGAGAGACGAGATGTCACATTATATGCGGGGGACGGACGGACGGAGACACGAGATGTCGCATTACATGTGGGGGATAACAAATAAGGCCTACATGTTGTAAGTTTATGAATGGTAAGTTGTTTGCAGACCTGTGCTGATAGCAACTGAGGATAGATAGCAGTGTCTGAATCCTTAACATGGAATTTGGGTGTGACACTGATGAGATTAAGTCATCAAAGAAGCTGGACTCATTGAGCTTTCTGGAACTGGTGGACTGGTGGGGTCGTCCCATTAACCAGTGTTTTTGATATGCCGACAGATAATCTGCATGTTTAGATTAGCTTGTGCTTCTTTGATATTTCGACTATAGTCTGCATGAAGTAACCCCGAAATTGACATGATATACATTTATATACATATATACATCAATAAAAATTCTTTTAATTCATTTCTTCATTCTTCAATTCATTAAGATCAGTACCCAGTTCAATGTGGATGGCATCAAGGTTCTCTACAGCGCTGTTCTCCCCAGCAACAAATTGTTTTTTGTAAGGGTCAAGGTCATGTCCAAGTTGTCGGGATTTCTTTGTCTGCACATGGCTTGTACCACCTGCTTCGAGCTGAAGAACGGTAACTTCAAGGAAAGACTGTTCTGTCTTTATAAAGTCTAGAATCTTGAAGAGTGAGTGAGTGACTGAGGTTTTACGCCGCTTTTAGCAATATTCCAGCAATATCACGGCGGGGACACCAGAACCCGGGTCTTCGGCGTGACGAGCGAATGCTTTAACCACTAGGCTACCCAACCGCCCAGAATCTTGAAGAGGTTAGCATTGGTACTGACAGTTGAGATGATTGTGGCAGTTGTTGATGGCCAAGGTTGTTCAGGGTGTTGGTTGTGGAATGGCATGATCTCATACAACAACGCCATTGGATTCTGTCTCCGTTTCTGGACTTAAAACTAAATTTGTAGGCCAACTACACCAAATACTGTCCTGCATGATTGTTTGGAATATAGCGAGGCACTTGTGTGTTTGCCATATTGCTATGCTATGCAATAGTCTATGACATCACATACTTATACTCAAATTGAAGAAATCCGCTCACTAAAATGAATTAATCTATAATCAATATAAAATGTGTTCACTCAGCTTATCAGTCGGAGTAATTGATAACTGGCTGACATGAATTCACCAGGGTCCCTTTCACCAGAATAGACAATAGTCGGCATGCTACCCTTAATCCGGATTACCTCGGATTACCCGACCGGCTACGTGGGTGGGACTAACCCGGGACTGGTACCCCTACATTATTTACAGAGTCCAATATATAAATGACAGGTCCATTTTTTGTATTTTATCTATTGGCGCGCAAGAACCAATGTTGAGTGAGTGAGTGAGTGAGTTTGGTTTTACGCCGCTTTTAGCAATATTCCAGCAATATCATGGCGGGGGACACATGAAATGGGCTTCACACATTGTACCCATGTCGGGATTCGAACCCGGGTCTTCGGTGTGACGAGCGTGAACCAATGTTCATTGTGTCAGCATCTTGGACCTACACCGGAAACATGGGGAGACATTGAAAGAATTTGAAAACATCTTTTAAAGCTCCACATAAATGCTTGGAATTAAGGCAAAAAAGTCCTCAAAGAAAAGCAAAGCAACTTTAAAGTGCCAAAAACTGTCAGGTCGACAACTGAGCTCCACAAGAAAGTGTGCAGTGTAGGGGTGGCTGGTGTCCAGCAAGTTCAAACACTGACAAGTGAGCTGTATTCTGTTAAGGCCAAGGAAGGAAAACACCCCCAAGGAGGATGAGAGTTCCCTGAAACCAAAAGGTAAAAGGTAATAACACTTGAATCTATTTATTCCTTTGGCCAGACTCTGAAATACTTGCAGGGAATAAAAGTGCTCAATGTTAAATGATTTTGGTGGCTAACCTTGCCAAATTCAAGTATTTGTCTTTTAATGAGGCCACTTAATAAACTTTCAATTTTATTGACAGTTTTCAGTTGTTAGGTACAGTAAGGGATCAAATTCACATACATAGAAGTGTTTTTTTCAATACCATAAGAAAACAATGTTTTACACCCTTATTAAGGGCTTAAGGTGGATAGAAATAGAAACAGCATTTGATCCGCTAGTGGAGATAATTCAGAAATGTCGAAGACTATCACATGCTTAAAAAGATTCATTTAGAAGTTTCCAAAGTAGTCAATGGTCTTTTTTAATCTGCAGGGCTGCTTCTGGTGTTTATCTGTGCTGCATGTCGGGGAGATGGGCTTTCCGTGAGCATGCCAAGACTTTGCTAATGTGTGGGGGTGACGCTGTCTTGGATAGAGATAAGAACAGCTGTGGGGCTTTAACTGAACAGAGAGAGTTTAATGTACTGACGGCATCTGTCGAAGTACCTAAACTGTACAAGGAGGTAGTAGTCCATCTTCCACTGCCAATACGGGTGGTGAAGTGAGAAGGGGATGCCCATCTTCCACTGCCAATACGGGTGGTGAGGTGAGAAGGGGACGTCCATCTTCCACTGCCAATACGGGTGGTGAAGTGAGAAGGGGATGCCCATCTTCCACTGCCAATACGGGTGGTGAGGTGAGAAGGGGACGTCCATCTTCCACTGCCAATACGGGTGGTGAGGTGAGAAGGGGACGTCCATCTTCCACTGCCAATACGGGTGGTGAGGTGGGAAGGGGACGTCCATCTTCCACTGCCAATACGGGTGGTGAGGTGGGAAGGGGACGTCCATCTTCCACTGCCAATACGGGTGGTGAGGTGGGAAGGGGACGTCCATCTTCCAATGCCAATACGGGTGGTGAGGTGGGAAGGGGACGTCCATCTTCCACTGCCAATACGGGTGGTGAGGTGGGAAGGGGACGTCCATCTTCCACTGCCAATACGGGTGGTGAGGTGAGAAGGGGACGTCCATCTTCCACTGCCAATACGGGTGGTGAGGTGGGAAGGGGACGTCCATCTTCCACTGCCAATACGGGTGGTGAGGTGGGAAGGGGACGTCCATCTTCCACTGCCAATACGGGTGGTGAGGTGGGAAGGGGACGTCCATCTTCCACTGCCAATACGGGTGGTGAGGTGAGAAGGGGACGTCCATCTTCCACTGCCAATACGGGTGGTGAGGTGAGAAGGGGACGTCCATCTTCCACTGCCAATACAGGTGGTGAGGTGGGAAGGGGACGTCCATCTTCCACTGCCAATACAGGTGGTGAGGTGGGAAGGGGACGTCCATCTTCCACTGCCAATACGGGTGGTGAGGTGAGAAGGGGACGTCCATCTTCCACTGCCAATACGAGTGGTGAGGTGGGAAGGGGACGTCCATCTTCCACTGCCAATACGGGTGGTGAGGTGGGAAGGGGACGTCCATCTTCCACTGCCAATACAGGTGGTGAGGTGAGAAGGGGACGTCCATCTTCCACTGCCAATACAGGTGGTGAGGTGGGAAGGGGACGTCCATCTTCCACTGCCAATACAGGTGGTGAGGTGGGAAGGGGACGTCCATCTTCCACTGCCAATACAGGTGGTGAGGTGAGAAGGGGACGTCCATCTTCCACTGCCAATACAGGTGGTGAGGTGGGAAGGGGACGTCCATCTTCCACTGCCAATACTGGTTCCAGATAGACCCTCAAAGTGTCATATTGGAAGTGAGAGTTTCCGTGTCCAGTGCATGAGCACAGATATACCTCCACCATCACGTTCAGGCAGACAGAAAGCTACCAACAGAGTTAGTGATGACACACAAAGGTCATGAGAGCCAGGTGGGTGGAAATAAGGGAAATAACTAAATACAGGGGACCAAATTTATGTAACGGTAACTTAAGCTGATCACCTGATGCAATGTACAGCAATCAGTGTGTTCAGGTGTTGGGAAAACCCCTTTTCAGCCAGCAACTCAAGTAACCTACATGCCCACTGAGATCCAGGTGAGGTGAAATGAGGTTTAACGTCGAGTCCAAGATTATTGCACTTATATAGCGGCGTGCATGCACATGTGTGTGTGGTTGTGTGTGGCTGCTTGTACTGGTCCGGACTGATGCCGATTTATAGTGCTAGCTCACTGAGATACCATGCCGCAGTTTAGCATGAATACCCCACTCAGACACAGTATACTGACTCCGAGCAGACCAGTCCTTGTTTTAGCCCCTTATTGCCGAGCGCCAGACAGGGTAACAACAAGTACCATCTCTTAACGTCTTTTGGTATGACGTGGCCGGGGATCAAACCCCAGACCTTCCGCTCTCCGGGCGGACGCTCTACCACTAGACCACGGAGGCGGTCACTGAGATCCAGACTAGTGACCACCAAATTTTGGCTTTAAACACAAAACCTAGCTCACACTGAAATTTATGAAGCAGGTGAAATGGATGTTTGCCCACAAACATTTCTTGATACACGGCATCAAACAGGCCAGCCTTGATACAGGCCAGCAACAGAAAGTTTATTAAAAATTCTAAATGCACGTGACCTGCCAAGGCTGAAGAAATCTCTCTCAAAGACTTGTGATGATGATGCAAAATGTAAATGGGGCATCACACAAAACGCAGAAAGCAGCAAAAATTGTTGTTGCACAGTAAGTATTTAGATAAAAACTTCAAACTTAGTCACAATGAAAGTAACTTTGAAAATTTGAGAAAATGCACTGACTTTCGTCTCGGCCCTAAACTGATTGAAAAGACACAAATCAACCCCCACAGTCAACAGTGTGAAGCAACCAACAAGGCATTGCGCCGGTCATTACCTCTGGATACAACCTCTGGATACAACCTCTGGATACAACCTCATGATACAACCTCGTGATACAACCTCGGGATACAACTTCGGGATACAACCTCGGGATACAACCTCGTGATACAACCTCGAGATACAACCTCGTGATACAACCTCTGGATACAACTTCGGGATACAACCTCGTGATACAACCTCGGGATACAACCTTGTGATACAACTTCGGGATACAACCTCGTGATACAACCTTGGGATACAACTTCGGAATACAACCTTTGCTCGTAACTTCCATGGTAGAGCCCACAGTGCTGTCCATCGTGTCAACTGCAAGAGTCCGGCAAAGTCAATATGGAAACTTCGACTAGGGCTTGGGTGTGCTGTCAGGGTGAAAGGAAACATAGATGGTGAGATTACCAAAAGCCATAATTAAGAACCTAAAGCTAAGACATACAAGAAATCCCAGTAAGTAACGACTGCCATGCAAAGAAAAAGCTGGAATTATTCAAACTCCATCATTGTAAAACAATTCGCAAGACGTACTCAGGCCACGAAAGGCTCAGGCCACAAAAGGCTCAGGCCACAAAAGGCTCAGGCCAAGACATACTCAGGCCACGAAAGGCTCAGGCCCAACTGATTCTGATTTAGTGTCGTAGAACCTTTAACCAGACACAGAACAAACACCCTTAACTCTTTCAACATAAGCCAACCAGAGTTATTTCCCTTGGTACATCAAGTTCCCACAACCATTGAACGCCTGCACACCAAGTTCCCAGAGACTTGTTGAAGAGAAGTATTCCTGTTTCTTTAAACTGTTCTGGTATATTTATGTTTGTGGCAATACCAACAAGCTACCTATCACTGCAATGCCCAGATTGTGTAGTACTTGAAAATTCATGAAAAAAATGTTTTAATTTCTACCATTCTTTAATTAAAGGAAATCACAGGTGAACAATCAGTAAAAAACAGACAACGTAACAGATTAGGAAGCTATAAATAGATTGACTGTAACAGAAAATGTGATAACAGTGAATAAATAGTGTCTTCTGACCTTCCGGCAGCAGGAGGAAAGTCATCTTCCCGAGGCAAGGGAGTTAGCTGACTATAAAAGTCCAGTTTCCACCCTTGCATAACTAGGCTCGAAGTCTGGAGTTACATTGTGGCTGGAATAATGAGTCTTTACATAGTCCAGTGAAAATCGCGTAAGAAACTAGACATCCGGTTCATAAACAACATGGATTCCATCGTGCAGCTTTCGTTCGACTGCAGGATTTCCAAAGCATGTGTACTGTCAACTGGGTGTAAGACCCATTTTATTACAATATAGGTCTTGATTATAGATCAGATCATCTTGACTAAGCGCCGCCATATTGTTTGAAGCAAATGGAAGTGATACGAGAGGGAGGTGGAAACTGACCGGTCAGTTAGAGGGACATAGAAGGGCCATAACACAGAACTGCCAGTGGTGGCGCTAGGATCGAGTGATGAAATTCCAGCGTAGTTCGGTAAGGGTGGAAACAGACCGGTCAGTTGGAGGGACGTAGAAGGGCCATAACCTGTGATTGCCACTGGTGGCGCTAGGATCGAGCCATGAAATTCCAGCGTAGTTCGGTAAGGGTGGAAACAGGACTTTTATAGTCAGTTAATTCCCTTGCCTCAGGAAGATGGAGGAAAGAAGGTGACCCAGGCGTTGCACAGCTGAGAACTGATATGGAGATGTGGAGGTGCTTCACCTGAAACAGAGACCATATAACAGAGGGATGGCCCTCTAGCCTATGCGCGAAACCATCAGTGCTACGGCTTGTACTGCGCAGCCTGTCCGGAAGCGAGCAGAAACGCGTTCACTGCAGTCATCGTTGTTGCCTTTTTTTCCCATGCAAAAGATATATTTCACAATACATAATTACACTCATATATTTCTTAACATTGTTAACATCACAACTGAGATGTGTTGGTGCCCTAAAGCATGTCGTTGTCACTGTATTTGATGACTGTGATCACGCTTTGTCTTTGTCCGAGAGAACAAAATGGCGCACATGTAAAATCGGCAAAAGTGCAGATTTTGATTTTCAATAACGGCCTCTAATTCGCAATGAAAGTCCTTGGTTACCTAGGTGTATAAAAAGGAGATATGTTAAAAATTGGCTTAGTGCCATTAACAAATTTAGGGCGGATCCGAAATTTCAGATTTTGACTCCAGAAATGGGACTAAATCTGAATTTTCCCCGAAATAATTACACCACAACTCTTAATTTTCGCATGCTTTCAGACGAATGTGTTCCTATTATCGGTCCTGAATTTAGTAGTTTTACATTCATCACAATTTCCCCCATGGCTTGGTACCAACGTTATTTAGATACGATCGGTAGTTTTTTTGGTATGATTTTTGGCGCAAGGCCATATTTTACGTCACATATTTTAAGTTAAATTACCATATAGCAGACGACATAACATGCATTTTGTCTGTGATTATCATCCGCATATATCCTGTGAAACATTCTACAAAGTGACTTATATTGTATGATATTAGAATTGTTTTTGTAAAACGCGTATTTTTTTTACCATTGCTTTCACCATTTCTTCGTAAGTTTAACTTTGTTTCAGTTAGGCCTAATCACATATCGAGCATATACTACATACTACGATACTACATATTTGTTATCTTCTGTAGGTTTTGTCTGTATAAATCATGACTACATTTAATCGATTATTTTTTTTATGCCGTGTAAATATTGATTATGAGCAAAATGATATTGGCCTAAACCCAATCATAATAATGTAAATATGATGAAGGTACTACTTACTTTGTGTATTTACACAACAATGAAAACATCATACAAAAATAAAAATCCGTTACATGAAATATTTGTATAATAAAATTATCATTTGCTTTGTAAATGCAAAGAAAGAAGAAGGATTATATCGGCAGTCGTCGGGAGAGAAGTTCCAGACAACAAGGTCGAAGGTGTTATTCAGTAAAATATATAGATGGAAAAATACATTTACATATGTCAGAGTTTGTGATGTTTTGTTTTGTTTTAATAGTAATACATGTGTAGTTGCATGTTTTGTTCCAGGTTAGAGTTTAAAGTTTGTTTTTCATTGATCAGATATAGAAAACTATGATGAAAGAATTTTGAAAACAACAAACGTTACTACAGTTTACGATATACTAGTACATATCTGGTACCATGCTCGTTGAAGCTATAGTGTTATACCTGAAATACCTAATTATTTGCATGCTGAAATATCAATCTAATCGGGTAATATCGGAATATTTGGAATTTAACAGTAGCCTCCCTTTGAAAAAAAACTTACCTCGCTCCAGCAAACCCCATTATCACTGCTAGCCCCAAACTGGCATTAACCAATAACTTTTGATTCTTTCGAAGCCCATTGTCGGACACATCGAAAATTCATTTAACATCGCTCGTAGTTTAATGTGTATTTCTAATTCATTGGAACTATTAGCATTATAAAATAGTAGCGAGTTTACATGAAATAAAAACATTAATATGGCGCCATTTTTTTTCTGGCTAATAGTAAAGCATTTACACCAGTCGGTGATCATGCATTTTTGCAAGTAAATCTAGTCTGGACTTATTATTAGATATGAAGTTAATATGGAGATATATTTTGTGAACATCGGGAATATGGTGATATGTTACAAGTGTCTTCCCTGCTTCTGGATGAGTTTTATTTACACTTCCTGAGTTCCTGTGCAATTTACCGGATCGTAGTTTTCTGTGGCGTTCGTAGTAGATTTGGTATATTTGTTTATTTATAATAGTTAACAATTACAGCATAAAATGAGATATTTTAACTGATTTTTGAAACAAATAGAATACGTTATAAAATACTTTTGATATCAGAACGGCTTTTTCTTCACATGCCCTCGAAAACTTACGCTTGTGGACAGACGTCATATTTTCATTTCCTACCTTTTTCTTTGAGTGAATCTTTTAAGGAGGTTTTTACCAACGGCTTGGTAGCGGTAACATCACTGTCATTCTATTTAGACCAAGAGTCATCCGAAACCAACCCCTGGTCGAAGAGAGGGAATTCTTCAAGTGGCATATCTAGGTCCAAGACGAAATCGTCCCAGTGAATGAAGTCGTCCATGGCTGTGGCGGATGTAAATTGAAATAAATGTCCCGGAAGACACACATGTTCAGCAAATAATTTGCAGCCAACTGACATGTGCTTATGAGAGATATCATAAAAAAATCTTTGTAATCCGCTAAGAGACGTCCTTTTATTGGATTGTCGCTGGTCGTAGTTGGAGAAATCGCGGATAAGGGAATTAACTCTTACCCCGGATATTATGTAATATTGTTTACGTGGTTACCAGAATGGTCAGTCGTGAATGTCTGCGCATCTATTGCGCATCTGCAGCGATACAGGGAGGTTAACAGCAGGGTGTCGGGGTGTATCAGTTACATGCCAGACCGTAGCGCTGATGGTTTATGATAAACTGTTGGGGAGGGCCGTCCCTCTATTATATGGTCTCTGCCTGAAACAATAAATAAAATATTTGTCAAATAATACAGGTTTTATTTCGGTAACATGATTGCTATTTAACCTTGTTGTGTTATTTTTTTCAATGGAACAACAGAACAGGTGTGTAATGGCTGCTGCTGCTGCTGCCTACTTGAGGTATACTCGTTAGGCCAGGTAAGCTGGTTAGCCAAGGTAAGTAAATGTGAGAAATAACACAAAAGGTTGAAACAAATTAGAATGTTATCATGTAGCATACAAAGACAATAGGATCTAATTATATTTACATCACTAGACAGCATAGGTTACTGAAGGAGCTTGATTGGCAGGTGTGTTGAAAGTGGATTATCTCCCTTGGATGTGGCAGTGTTCTTCACCTGAAAATATAACAAAGGATTTTAACAGTTTTTCTTGTTGAATCGTTGAAATATGAATGCTTTTGAGTTATATGAATGTTATATTTGAACCTAGAATAATAAAAGTTCATATTTTGCAGCAGCAACACCCCAAAAATATCATCTCGTTAACTTTGGTTAGCGAGACAAGTGAAAAAAAGAGAGGAAAAAATACAAAAGGCTGAAATAAATCACTTAACTATCCAATATCATACACAGACAGCGAACTAATATGTTTTCAAACACCAGATGGCACAGGTGACAGTAGGAGGTGGACTGACAGGTGTTGAAAGTGTGGATTATCTCCCTTTGACTATTCTTCACCTAACATGAAACTTGAAAAAATAATAACAACACTTTGATGACTTGTTTGGTTCTACGATTTTGTATTTGAGATCAGGTTGAGTTGAACTGTTTGGATTGTTTGTTCGTTTGTTGATGCTACAAACAGCAATATTCCAGCTATATGACAGTGATCTGTAAATCATCGACAAGACGGTCCAGTGATTGACATCAAGAGCATTGATCCAAGCATTTAGAATACGATGACATGCATCAACCAACACACATATATATATTTATTTTGTTTGTTTGGTGTTTAACGCTGCACTCAGCAATATTCCAGCTATATGACGGCGGTCTGTAAATAATCGAGTCTGGACCAGACAATCCAGGTTCACTCACAAATTCCTCGCGGTCACGCCCACAATCTTAGTCCTTGTTCCAAACTCATACAGAAAATCCTGGAGGAAAATATTCCATGAAGCCTTCGAAACCATTGTCGTCATCATCGTGAAACAGTTTGCAAATTTCCCGTTCGCCCTCAGGATTTAGTTCAAGCAAATCAAAATCCACCACGAATTCAATAAAATCATTGTCTGACATCTCATCGCTATATGAATCATGACTTGCAGCCATTACACACGTATGTTCAAAGTCAAATCACAACACAAAGTTTACGTTCAGAAAATTCAGCTATCTAAAGAAACTTTCTAAATAAACACCCCATTATACCAACTCTTGTTTCCGGTAGTCACATGACTTGTTAACGCGAGTATAGGATGTATACTTTTATGTTGTTGTTTACTTTTATACACGCCGGCCGGTAGACCACCGTATGGTGTCTGGGGAGTCATGACATCTTGGCTGGTCTACTGGCCTACAGTGTTGAAAGAGTTAAGACACCCTGTAATCTAAGTCTACTCATGCTATGATGTATCTGACCACTAAACAACAGAACCGCCTCCGTGGTTTGGTGGATAGAGCGTCTGCCCGAAGGGCGAAACTATATGACTTTAACTATAAACACCACAAACCACCCTTAAGACACCCTGTAATCTAAATCTACTCATGCTATGATGTATCTGACCACTAAACAACAGAACCGCCTCCGTGGGCTGGTGGATAGACCGTCTGCCCGAAGGGCGAAACTATATGACTTTAACTATAAACACCACAAACCACCCTTAAGACACCCTGTAATCTAAATCTACTCATGCTATGATGTACCTGACCACTAAACAACAGAACCGCCTCCGTGGTTTGGTGGATAGAGCGTCTGCCCGAAGGGCGAAAGGCCGGGGATTTGATATGTAACTGTGTCATACCAAGGACATTAAAGAATGGTACTTGTTGTTAACCTGCCTGGTGCTAGGCAATAAGGGGCTAAAACAAGGACGGGTCCTCTTGGAGTCAGTATACTGTGTCTGAGTTGTGTATTCATGTTAAAGTGTGAAATGGTATCTCAGTGGGATACCACAATAAAATTGGCATAAGTTCAGTCTAGTACAAGTAGCCACACACAAACATCCATGCATGTTGCTATATAAGTGCAATAATCTTGCACCCCCTTTCACCTCACATCACTAAAAAACAGTCTATTTGACTACTTGATCCATGTCCAGAGACTGACTTTAACAAGAAACACCACAAACCACCCTTAAGACAACCTGTAATCTATATCTACCTCTGCTATGATGTATCTGATCACAGAACAGAGTCTATTTGACCACTTTATCCATGTCCAGAGACTGACTTTAACTATAAACACCACAAACCACCCTTAAGACAACCTAAAATCTATATCTACCCATGACATGATGTATCTGATCACAGAACAGAGTCTATTTGACCACTTGATCCATGTCCAAAGAATGACTTTAACTATAAACACCACAAACCACCCTTAAGACAACCTAAAATCTATATCTAACCGTGACATGATGTATCTGATCACAGAACAGAGTCTATTTGACCACTTGATCCATGTCCAGAGAATGACTTTAACTATAAACACCACAAAGCCACCCTTAAGGCACCCTGTAATCTATATCTACCCATAATATGATGTATCTGATCACAGAAGAGTGAGTGAGTGAGTGAGTGAGTGAGTGAGTGAGTGAGTGAGTGTAGTCACTGTTGCCAGGGAGTCTTGGACGCCTGCAGGAGAGTTGCTTTATACACAGGCTTATAGAGTGCCTTCATTGGGCACACAGGACCATAGCCAGATTCCACTTGGACAATGTGCGGGGCATTTTAATATTCTCCAGTTGAAATTATTTCATGAGGCCAATGTGCAGCTGATCCTGGCTGTTCCCAACTCAGACGTCTGACTTTGACAATCTGTGATCCAACAAATATAAAATAATGGTCAGGGTCAAGACAAAAACTTCAAATATCCTCCTCAGGACAGCAGACCAAAGGGAGCTTACTCATCCACCAAATGTTGCAAATTACCTCCCCTTTGTCTACAGTTGTTTGTTTGTCACAGTCGCAGATATTCCAGCTACATGACAACTCCATTTATATGAATAATTGGAGCAAACTCCTCAGCTCAAACATGGCAAACCTGCGATGACTTTGAGGCAGCATTCTTCGTACTCACAGACATATCAACCAGAGGACGACTTTAACCAAAAACAAAACACAAAACACCCTAAAGACACCCTGTAATCTAAACTACCCATGCTATGATGTATCTTGTCAGTATACATAGTCTATTTGACCACTTGACCCATCTCAAGAGGAGGACTTTAACCAGAAACAACACAAAACACCCTGAAGACACCCTGTAATCTAAATCTACCCATGCTATGATGTATCTGGTCAGTATACACAGTCTATTTGACCACTTGACCCATTTCAAGAGGAGGACTTTAACCAGAAACAACACAAAACACCCTGAAGACACCCTGTAATCTAAATCTACCCATGCCATGATGTATCTGGTCAGTATACACAGTCTATTTGACCACTTGACCCATCTCAAGAGGTGGATCTTAACCAGAAACAACACAAAACACCCTGAAGACACCCCATAATCTAAATCTACCCATGCTATGATGTATCTGGTCAGTATACAGTCTATTTGACCACTTGACCCATCTCAAGAAGAGGACTTTAACCAGAAACAATCCAAAACACCCTGAAGACACCCAGTAATCTAAATCTAGAAATGCTATGATGTATCTGGTCAGTATACAGTCTATTTGACCACTTGACCCATCTCAAGAGGAGGATTTTAACCAGAGACACCACAAAGCACCCTGAAGACACCCTGTAATCTAAATCTAACAATGTCATTATGTATCTGGTCAGTATACACAGTCTATTTGACCACTTGACCGATCTCAAGAGGAGGATTTTAACCAGAGACACCACAAAGCACCCTGAAGACACCCTGTAATCTAAATCTACCCATGCTATGATGTATCTGGTCAGTATACAGTCTATTTGACCACTTGACCCATCTCAACAGGAGGACTTTAACCAGAAACAATACAAAACACCCTGAAGACACCCTGTAATCTAAATCTACCCATGCTATGATGTATCTGGTCAGTATACACAGTCTATTTGACCACTTGACCCATCTCAAGAGGAGGATTTTAACCAGAGACACCACAAAGCACCCTGAAGACACCCTGTAATCTAAATCTAACAATGTCATTATGTATCTGGTCAGTATACACAGTCTATTTGACCACTTGACCCATATCAAGAGGAGGATTTTAACCAGAGACACCACAAAGCACCCTGAAGACACCCTGTTATCAAAATCTACCCATGTCATTATGGATCTGGTCAGTATAAATAGTCTATTTGACCACTTGACCCATATCAAGAGGAGGACTTTAACCAGAAACAACACAACCCACCCTTAAGACACCCTGTAATCGAAATCTACCCATGCTGTGATATATCTGGTCATCGTACACAATTTATTTGACCACTTGGCCCATGTCCAGACAATGCTGTGAACCTGAAGCTACATCGAACACCCTGTTACACACCCTGTAATCTAAATCTACCCATGCCCTGATGTATCTGGTCAGTTGGTTGGATTGTTGTTTAACGCCGCACTCAGCAATATTCCAGCTATATGACGGCGGTGTGTAAATAATCGAGTCTGGACCAGACAATTCAGTGATTGATATCATGAGCATCGATCCAGGCAATTGGGATCGATGACATGTATCAACCAAGTCGTCGAGCCTGACCAAGTGATCCCGTTAGTCGCCTTTTACGGCAAGCATAGGTTGCTGAAGACCTATTCTACCTCGGAATCTTCATGGGTCTGGTCAGTATACAGTCTATTTGACAACTTGACCCATTTCAAGAGGAGAAACTGTTATCTAAATCTCACCTTGCTATGATGTATCTGGTCAGTATACATAGTCTATTTGACCACTAGACCCATCTCAAGAGGAGGACTTTAGCCAGAAACAACACAAAACACCCTTAAGGTTACACACAACCAAATGTTTTCCAATAGACTTCTATAGTAACGTTATATTTTTTTTAAAAATAACTAAGCATTCAACAGCTATTACCTGTAAACACACCACCCCCAGTTTCGCACCAAATGTCACCTACTTGAAAATAGCTGTGGTCATATTCAGCATAAGTCATCATGTTGAAAAAGACAGTACTAAATTTAGAAAAACATGGTCAGTTTTAATACCTGGATTGATGTACATTTG